AGGGACAACCTGTCCTTCCTTCCACGGGCCAGCAGAGCCAGTGCCACAGACACAGATCAGTCACCACTTTTTAGACCCATCTGTCTTTGAAAACTGCATCTGCTCTTGGAATACTACCACTGCCTCCCCATTTCACTGCACCCCCCTCAGCCCCTCATTCACACACTCCCACCTTTTTTTTTTACAAAACCACATCTGCCTTCTGGTCTGCTCCTCAGTCTCACAGTGCCATTTCCTTAACTCCTCCAGTTCCACCAGCAAAGCCATCGCCCACTGCATCCCACACAAACGTGGGCCTTCAGGTGTGAAAAGCACTTTCTGAGCTAAGCCACAGATCAGAGTTCCCTCCCTCCTATAAACCATCTCCTCAGTGAGTGGCCCAACTCTGAGCTGTTAATAAAGCCAGCCTAGAGATACCCACCGTCTGGTGAAATTCTTTAAGACCACCGTGCTGCAAAAGTAGCAGCAGCTTACAATGCAAGAAAAAAACCCCCAACACATTTCTAAACAAATTACACCAAGTTCATAAGAAATCTGAAGCAGCCAGTGTGATAAGTAATCAAGGGTAATTTGCAGATCAAATGTTGTTTTGTTTTTTTTTTTAACAAAAGGGATGATCTTGCTGCAACAGATCTCAGAACGTCCTGTCTGGCAAGGAGAAAAGGACTTAACCATGAGGTTGCAAGATGTACTGTCTCAAGGCAACTGTTAAACTGCAATCTTATGTTACCATGACAACTTTTGAACTTTTGTCTTTGTTTAGTTTAGACTGTAGTGTAAAAAGAGATTAGTTTTGTTAATTTACAACTTCACAGCTCCCTGTTAACAAATGTACAACCCCCATTGTTATGTGACTGAAAGCCTAATTATTTGCTCAAACCGACAAACCGACCTTGAAGCTAGCCAGCCTTAAAGAAGTTATAATAACAAAAGAAGGCAAGAGGCATGCCGAAGATGTTGAAACCGACCTCCAGGAGGATAAAAAGACTGTGTTACTTGTCAGAATTTGTGAGCCTTGGGTAGAGCTGCAACTCCCCGGCCACCCAGCGTGCTGTTTTGCTTTCCTACCTTAATAAATATTTAGTGAATTTATTTTGGACTCTAGTAATTTTAATTCAACTATAGCAGCCAGGAAGGCACAAGTGACTCATTTGGGATGATCCTAACAAACTCACACAATCCCTGGATGTTTGACAGAAGACCAGAGAGCTGCATGTTGATTCCAATAGTAGGCAGTGAATTTGCAGATTTTCAGGAGAGGCTTAGGATACACGACATAAAATGGATTAGCAGGAAGAGAGTAAAACCACATTTTAATCCTTACTATGAGTGTAATACAGCCGTGGCCTACCTGGCTCTTTGTCTTTTGTTCACCTAGGTACAACATGAGTTTTGAATATCAAAGCTTTTCCCACATCTTCCACGTTTGCTAATGTTCACGGAGTAGATGAAGAAACAGGTTATGATATATTACCGGCTGTGGGCTTGTGAGTTCGAACCGCTCTTCTCTGCAAAGAACAGGCAGTACAGGCAATCTGCCATCCCCAGTACTCCCAGTAACACATGTGCAGAGCACAAATATTCCTGTAGAATACCTCGCGCCCAGCGTCTTTACTAGGTAAGTGGCCTTGGTAGGAGGCCCTTAAGAGCCAGTGGAAAAAGCTGCCACCTCACTACTCTTTCATCTTCACCCAAAGGGATCTAGTGTTGGAACAGCTCCCCGGTCTCCAAGCAGGTGGCTTATTCTTGGAGAGAAAGACACGCAGACATCTGTTGGAGAACGGCTTGCAGAGAGCAAGGCCATAGCTTCCTGCAGGAGCTGGTTGGCCATAGCTCCCTGCAGAAGTCGGTCGCAGCCACCTGAGATAAACAGAGGAAAAAACCCAGTGTACATTGATGATAACAAGGACTGTTGTGAGAACAGGGAGATAAGTTGGGGCACATTATGACCTTGGGGGTGAGAGCAAAACAGCCCTGGGAGAGAAGCAGGTTCACAGGAAGAAAGATGTTTATGCATACCAGAGATGCCACGAGGGGCTGGGATATTATAATGTGACCTTTTAAATGTACCCAATGGCTGAGACATTATAATGTAGTTTCTTAAATGTATCCAATAGAGTTGCAAGTAGTGTATTGTAGATTGCTTATATAAGGTGTGATTTCTTTCAATAAAGTTGAAGCTTGCTCTATCATTCACATTGAATCGGCTGCTTGCTTCCTCCGCCCGCCGCAGACATCACCTGGAGACGCTCGTGTCCTGGTCAGCGCTGTCAACCCTCTACTCTGCTCCCGCCTGGCTGGTCCGCAGGGGATCCCATTTCCCACAAGTGCTGCCGTCTCTCAGGTGACTCCACTGATGCGCTAACCCTGGCAAAGCCGCAGCCCAGCTTTATTCCCCGCTCCCCCGGTGAAAGGCTTCGGGACGTACCAGTGGCTGTTTCATTCTCCGTGCATGAGGAGCAAGTAGGCCACACCTCCCCTGAAAGAAGCACGTGGAGTGTGGGTGCATATGCCGGGTCGCGAACCGTCTGTGTGACTGAAAATGTAAAAGTGTCATCAGCATTCAAGTTAGAAGATTAACGATGTCTAAATTAATGACGCACTTGTGTTAGAAGACTAACGGCATCTAGATTAACAACGGCTAAAAGCGAAAGCATTTTTGCTCATTAGGGAAGAAAAAGATAAGAAGGAAATCTTTAGAATAACAAAGCAGAAATTTATTTACTGGTTGTGCATGCTTAGTAGTGCTTGTTGGAAGTGCTGAGAGGAATGAGTTTTTGAAATGAGCATGCGCAAGAGCAACACATGGATTTGCTGTCACGAGAATATATAAGGACTTGTTTTTCTAATAAACATCAGGGCTTGACTGTTAACCATACTGGTATGTGTTATGCCTCTCATTCTCGTCCTGCAAAAATAAGGCCTCTTGCTACAGTGGAACCCAACGCTTCACACCATTTCTTTCAGTGAATGGATTGCCGGTCCCCTCCTCTGCTCACCTTGGTGCTGCCTCCACAAAGAAGGCCTGAGCACAGTGCAGAGTTGCCACAGCTGCCTAAAGAAAATAAGTCCCATTGACAAGAAAAGACATTTTAAGAGATCCATTTTGAAGAGCACTGCAGTTCAGGTAACTTGCTAAGTGTGAGACAAAAGAACAGAACATTTCACAAGGCACTGACAATTATTTCTCCTTGCAGTGCGCTCTGAGCACTAACGGCTGCCAAAATCGCAAACAGGGCAAAGCCATAACGTGCCTCTACAGATCACACTCTTTCCAATTCGTGAGCTGCAGACACCAAGGTAACGACTGACCCAGCTGGAATGGGGTTGCTGAAGGGCTCAGGGTACTCAATGGCTTAGTTGCAATCCAAGTGGCACCACGACTGAACTTCCACACTGGAGAAACTCCCGATAATCTCAAATAAGGCCAGAGGTTCTGGATGGCTTTATCAGCAGATGGAAACCCTCCTGGAACAGCACGAAAATCCCGTACAATTTCTACAGGAGGACCAAAAATTCAAGGAAAAGAGAGAAATAAGTGCGAGAAGAAAAAAGTCTCATATCAGCACTCACCAAAGCATAACATTTCATTCCAGCAGTATTACAAAGGGCTCAGAGGAACTAACACCTGCATGACAGGGGAGGATTTCAAGTACCACCGACATACACACGACAGGTCAGTCGGAACATCTGATGCCTCTATTTTTTCACAGGAGAGTCCTGACCGCCACTTATGCAACAAAGTACTGCAGCAATCGGAAAAGTCAGACGACATAAAGCAAGATAATTCTGAAAATGCAGCTCCCCTGCCACACCATGGCACTAATTCTAACACTTCCATTAGTGAAAATTTAGTTGTAGAGAGTGATGAGGGCTCCCCTCAGCCTCCTCCTCCTCACACTGAACACTCCCAGCTACCTCACTGGCTCCTCACAGGATTTATTCTCCAGGCCCTTCCCCAGCCTCGTTGCCCTCCTCTGCCCTCGCTCCAGCCCCTCGAGATCTCTCTCGTATTGAGGTGCCCAAACCTGGACACAACGCTCCAGGTGTGGCCTCACCAGTGCAGAGCACAGGGGGACTGTCACCTCCCTGCTCCTGCTGGTCACACTATTGCTGATACAAGCCAGGATGCCTGTGGCTTCCTTGGCCACCCGGGCACACTGCTGGCTCCTGTTCAGCTGCTTGTCAATGAGAACCCCCAGATCCTTCTCTTCCAGACAGCTCCAGCCACCCCTCTCCGAGCCTGTAGCCATGCAGGGGGTGGTTGTGGCCCAAGAGCCACCGATTGGCCACCGATCCGATCCATCCAAGGCACCGATGTGCCGCTCAGGGGGGTTCCCCCAAGCCAGCGGCAGGGCTGTGCCTGCTGGAAGGACGCAGGTAGGCGCCCCTGGGAGCACGGTCCTGCCCGCCAGCCCCCGAGGAG